GGAGAGGAGAGGAGAGGAGAGGAGAGGAGAGGAGAGGAGAGGAGAGGTTTTCTCTTTATGAACTTAAACATTTTCTGCCCACTAAATGAACATCAGATCGGTTTTTCAATTTCTGGTCTTTATGTACTCTGCGCCCAACTCTTATTTACAGAAGATATTTGCCCTGTGGTGTGAATCACCACCTGTGTCAGAGTGCTGAGAACAGTGGACTKCAGGGGAACCTAAATGTTTGCAACAAGGCATTCTGTCTTCCTGAACCCTGCAAAGGAATTTGTGTTGGGCAAGGGCTTACGGAGTGAGTGGAGGAGTGACTGATTTAGTAGACAAAGTAATTTTTATTTCTGATTCAGAATGACCATACGGTAGAAAGTGGAGAAGGATCTTCATTTGCCTAGTGGGTTTCAAAATATTATTGTAGGTTACATTTGTCCTGGCATTATCAGAGGTTACTTAGTGTGCRAGCCCATTTCTGAGAGGAACATGCCCTTCCTTCTAGGAGCAGTATCAGGTATGCTAGATCCAGCTACCCTTTATTGTAGGTCTGCTGTTTCCCTAACAATGCCATTAACTGTTTTTTCCCCGCCCTTTTTCATATTTATACATACAGCACATTAGAAATTCCTTAAACAGTTTTAAAACAGRAAGGCAGCTATTCTTAATCTAAATTCTGTACTTCTCCCAGGCTAAAAGTGATGAAGCAAACTGAAAACAATTGGATTCTGATGGGAACAGCTTGGGTCCAGGGTTTTTTTAGTTTGGCCCCTGTCATCAAGACAATGGGCAAAGGCTTGTCAAGAGTTAAACTGTGAATGGCAGATACTTGGTGCCATGCACACTAATGCTGTCTCCATGCTGAAGGGCCTTTGGCACTGCAGTTTTATTGTTCCAGATCTGCCAGAGCCAGTTAGGGAATCTAAAAGCAAGCTGGAATTGCACCAAAAATCCAAGCTGCTGAGGTTGGTATCTTGTTTTATCTCCTTCTCCAGAATTATACAGTGGCCTCTTAATTCAAGGGATGGCAAAATAAGCCACAAATACCCTGCTAGGGGTGTGTCTGTGTGTTCTTCTTGAAATTAAGAAGATTAGTTCCTAATCTAATCCTCATTAGCTCAATGCTCCCACTCAACTATCCCCTCATATTCTGTTCATGTGTTAGGTGAACAAGGAATTGCTCTTCTCCAGGTTCACCTTSGTTTCTCCGATAGGACAATTATTGAATATATGTAATTTCAGGTGGCCACCCAAATTAGACTGACCCATGCTTGCTTTACAGTTTTGGCTTCCCAAATCCAAAGATATTAATCCTGACTTCAGCTTGCTGTCCATACAGATCCCTTCCCCTCATGGTATTTTAGATTGATTCTCATGGATATTTAGGGTAACTATATGTACACATACCTGTGTATGCATGCAGGTAGGTATGCAGCTGCAACACCCCCATACATCTCTTTTATTATTATTTTTAATAACCTCCCTCCTACCTCTGCTACCCCATTAATATCAGCATTTTAAACAAACTCCAAGTAAATAACTAAAATTACTCAAAACAGGAGAATAGTAAATAACTAAAATTACTCAAAACAGGAGAATCACACTCCAGTAGTCTTTGTTTCGGAAAATTATTATTTATTGCTTCTCTATAATAAAACTACAATATAATTTTCTTAAATCTTGGCACAAGTACTCATTGAAATCACCACGCTGCATAATGTGGTTTAATATTAAAATAAAATTACTAAGCATGGCTAGTAAACTATGAATATTTTATTCTAAGGCAAATGTCCATCCAAAGAGGAGTGTAAATATTTATGCCTGTAAATATAGTACGCAAATATTGCATAAATATTTATGAATATTACATCTAGATCACATGGATCCTGATTTGTTGTGTGCTTTCATTTTAATGGGTCCAGCACTAGTTCCATGTGGCATCCCATCCTTACAYAGAAGGGAGCACCCAAGAATCCTGGATCCTTGTGGCTGACAGGAATGACAAAAGTAAGAGGGCCAGCAAAAGCATAGCCATTTGGCAAGGAAATAAGTATGTTAATCCCTGACCTCCTATATAAATACAGGTTTTAGAAAAAGGGCTAGGATGAAAGGAGACWGAGATGGATTAAAGAGGAGGAGAAAGAATTAAAAGAAGAAAGGATGTCCTGGCTCCAGCATCAATCCAGCTGATGGGATGTGCAGGCTCCTGGAATCTAGGTGTGTCCAGGCTTTGTAGACCTTTTTATAGTGAACTTTTGATGCCCTGGAGATAAGTTTCTCACTTTCTATGCAAATGAGTTATCTTGGGCAGCACATTCTTGTAGACCTTTCTGGAAAYTGGTTGGGGGTTTGAGTGCTCTTGATTCCCCTTTGCATTCTATGCTTGCTCATCAGCCTCATTCCTGCATCTCTGCTGGACTCTGTTGTGCTCTGCTCCAGGAGCCAGAAAAAAGTYAGCTTGTCCCAAAAAAGTCAGCTTTCCCCATTCATAATACTGGCCTCTATTTATTACTTTTAAAGCACAGCTTTAGTGTTTTTACAGTCTACAGTTTTTACTGTTATTTTTAAAGCATAGTTGAAATAATTTGAGCAGCAGGTTTTAGATTAAAATTCAGGTGCAGCTCTTGTCAGGAAAAAGAAAGCATTGGAGGCCTCTCTCAGTGGAACTGGTTTTTCAGTTCCTGATTTTCCAGTTCCCGATTTTCATCAGTGAATGTGGTGAAGGAGGTAAGGATTCTGTGCACGCTTCACCCTGCACAGACCTGTCCCARGTTAGGACAGCCTGTTTGCTTGCCCAGGGCACATTTCAGACACCAGGGTTTAGATGGTGAATTCTTGTAAGTTAATCCTGGGYCAGGRTTTTAATTAAARGRWTWAAAAWYCYKSCYTTTYRCATCTTTTCTCCAAGYCTGGGGTAAAYCCACATGAATTTRGACAAGTGATAGTGAAATAGATTATTTTCTTATATTTCCCTCACTTGATTCTTCTAGTTACAGCCCATTCAGCTTACACAAAAAAGGTCTAGTAAAAGTACTGGTATAAAGTAGAAGTGCAATAGGCAGAAACAAGCCTTCTCCGCCCTACCTGGCAAAGCAAAAGTAAGCAATGATGAGTTTGTTGGGTCTGCCAATGTGAAGATTACTTCCTCTTGCTACTGTATGTTCACAGATGTTTAGAGAAGGTAACATGTGCATTGAGATGAAGGAACAATGGTATAATCTTGRCTGATTGACAAGAAATATGTTTTTAACTTCCAGGAGGCAACATTTCTGACCTGCAGTTTTGTATGAATTTTCTGTCATCTTAAGCATTTTGCTAACTAGCTTTTATATCACTGCATTACCAATTTTGGTAATGCACACTTCTGTTAAACCTAGAAGAGCATTTATATACTCAATGAAGCCGCACATTGCTGAAGGATTTCCACAGATTTCCTATTGTTTGCTGTATTGATAATCAAAGAGAATCTCTGGCTGTAAGTATTCTCTATGAATCAAAGATTCAGGACTCTGGTCAAATAGAAGCATTTGCTTGCTTTCCTGATCTGCAGTTCACACAGATGTCTGAAGGCTGAAGTTTATTGACAAATGTTGACTGAGATGGCTAAGATGGTACAGTTTTATCTGAAATCACTCCTTGGGAAATAAATAGGGAAGTAGCTATTGGCATCAGTAGTGTTGAGAGTTCTCAAATGCAGAAATTCCCATTGATGTAAATGAAAATTCAGGGCAGGGTAAAGACTTGAACTGTGCCAATAAGGCATTTTTTTTGCTTTCTCTGAGCATTTGAAAACTGTAGGTTCTKTAAGACCATCGTCTGTTTTCTTCCTTTATGCACTGGACAGCTMTTTATGTAATGTAGGCCATAGAACAGGGGGAATTTTGCTTTTCTTTGGTATTTGCAGTGACCAGTCCATTAATAGGACCGATTCCACAAAAGCTATGTAAGAGCTTCTCACATTCGGCTTCTGGGCCTGCTGCCTAAAACCATACATCCTCTGCAGTCCCCAAGGTTTGACATGTGCTAAGAATGGTATTCACCATATCCATTATGGATGAATTTTGTGATATTCAAAGAATACACTTAAAGCCATGAGCTCTTGTGCAGTGAGGCATGGGAATATTCCTGTTATGAGCATGCTTATCACCCAGACACAGAGTCAAGTGGCTCTGTTAATTTTTTTCTTAACATGGGGAATAAATTCCATTGGGCAGTTTTGCTTTAATCTCTCGCWATCTTTTTCAGATATTGTCTTTATAGCCAGTATTCATGGTATCTATAATTCAACATCAAATAAGAAATGTCTATGGCAGAACAGCCACAAACCAGTAAATTTTGCTATTATTTATGGGTGTCATTACCTGACCTGGGTTCAACTTTCTTGCTTTGTTTTGGAGAAT